AAAATAACCTATAACGTGATCTACAGGACTAAAATAACCTCGTTGTTCATCATATTATGTTGTTATTAAATATTGTAGCACCCAATTTCGAAATCGTAATAAACATACAAAAACAATCGCAGTCAAATACATTGCTTTTTCTCATTTCGATAGATGGCGCTGTGGCCGTCTGAGTTATATCTTGTCTTAGTGTTAAGAATTTATTATGTGTTTTCTATCCCCCGCCACAGCCCCACCCCCCTTGCGGAGGACGGTCGCTCCAGTCGAAGGTTCGTTCAGGAGAACTCCGTACGGATTAGGAAATCTGTTCGACTTTACTTATCCAGGAATTGAGGGTTGAGATCTGGGGAAGTGCCTTGTGGAAGTCAGAAAGTGAAGTTAGGCGCACCGTAGAGTACATAGGAGTACAGGGAAGTTCTGTCGAGTGATCTACCATTAGACCTCTAATAAACCTACCCACGAACCTAGGGACATTGGCCTCGATCTTTTTTATTGTAAATAACCTACATTTTTTATACCGTTTTTTACTTTATCACCCTAATAAGTATAAACGTGTCAGTGGATTCTTCAGGGCACGCAACCAACTGTACAAGGCGGTGTTTAGTGTAGACAGTAAGGGCGCTTGTGCACTACACTGAACTTTCAGGTCCAGCGGTCCGACTTTTTCCGGTCCGATATATCAGGACATATGTAGGTAATGCTAGCCTGTGCACTGTCAGGAATTTATCGTCCGGAATTTTACTTTTCTCTATTCCGGACCGGTTTTTTCAAGTCCGTGTTGGCGGCAATAAAAATCATATTTACGCTTGTGCACTACTGTGTCCGCGATCCGTAAAATTCATGAGCCTGCGGAGTAGGCTTGGGAAAAATAATCGATATCGATATAAAAAATAATTTTTGATATACTGATAATCGATATTTATTGTAGATTATAAAATGCGGTATTTTATATGATGATTTAATAAAGTTGGTAAATATCACTGCATATGATTTGGCAAACTCGATATAGTTCTAATTTGAACATCGTATGGTTCTAGTATCGATACTTTGCTAGATTCTAGAATCGTATTAAAATTATCGATAACTTAAGGTGAAACAAATAACTATTATTACACATAGACGCCTAAACAACTGAACCCATCTTAATGGAAATTAATATAGAAATACTTAACTTTAAGAAAGGACATAGGCTACCTTTTATCACAAAAAATAGGTGGAAATAGAGGATGAAAGTCTGCATGGAAATTTGTCATTGTTAAAATTTGTTTTTAGACCATTGAAAAGACAAGTATAAATAAATATTTGATAATAATAATAATACTAAATGTCTTTATTTGCAATAAATAGGGTTAATATACAATGACGATATTAAAGTTTGAGTGATGGCTTTGACCTATTTAGCCATCTTGAATAGCATGCAAAAAAAATAAAATGAAAAAGATGTAGGTATTATAAAGACTAAACTTAAAAAATTCATAAAAAACATACAATTGTGTCAAATTTAACAATATCAATTATAGTAGTTCATGTTACAATCAAAATATTACAATTGTGTCAAAACTTCAGAAAATTATTACAGTACAAATCAATCAATCGAATTAATAAAAGTAAATAATTAAAAAAATAAACGCCAAATAAAATTATAATAATCAAAATACATAGATTTTTATCTTTTATAATCAATTCAATTACATTAATATGTGCCTTTTAATTTGCATGCTATATTAAATAGTCCAAATAGTCATCAATCATGTCAATTTTATCAAATTGTACAAAAAAACAAAAAATGTATAAGATGTCAAATGGAAATATTAAATTATTGAACATGTCAAGAAATTTAGTTTAGTAAACAAGTATGTCAGATGCAAATATGTAAAATTATTTATAAAACTTTGTATCGACTTTCATGCTTTGATTAGGTACTAATAAACTATCCCTCGTTAAGGAATTCACCAAGTGAGTAGAAAGCTTTTTCAATCAGCCATTTACGCAATCATATTTTACAAGGAGTAGCCGGCAAATCTTTAATATTATTAGGTATTTTATTTAAGATAGTTTTACACATAAAGGGACTATTTTTTACATATTTTTTTGTTATGGGTATCGTTGTATGTACCAGTTTGTTCGGTTTTCTCAAACTTCTTTCAGTAACATGTCTCGATCGTACGAACAATTGTTCATTGTTCTACACAAACATCCCCACTTCTAATATATACAGAAAGGGCAGTGTTAATATTTTTAAAGAAATAAAATAAGTTCTACAAGATATGTCTGAAGTCAAATTGCAAATAGCTCTAATACAGCGTTTCTGAGCAATCAGTAATCTTGTTATATGAGTACCATTACCCCAAATGATTAAGCCGTACTTTAAAACTGATTCTACGTACGCGAAGTAGGCTGTAATGGCAGTATTTAAGCTTGCAACTTTGGTTAATTTATACAATGCATAAGCAAATCCATTTACCTTATTGCAAATCTTATCTTTCCAGGTTAATGTTGGCGTAACTATTAGTCCTAAAAATATAACACTTGTTACATCCTGAAGAATTTGTCCATTAAACACTATTAAAAACTATGTTAATAACAGAAATATTCTAAAAGAAAAAGAATTCTGCTCAAAGAAACTATACCACGCGTATAAAATAAAAGCTTGTAAGTATATATAATGCTGATCTTACAATGATTATAGTTAAACCATGACATTTCGATTTGTTTACGAGATGGCGCCAACAATCGGTCTATCTCTGTAATCGCTTGAATTAGTTTTTACAAAACTTCGAAAAAACAAAAAATTTTGTAAGTATGATTGTCCACGTATTTCCTAATATTTTATTTGTGACATTGGGTCGGTCTGTATCGGAGGATGCGTCGTTTCTTGTCGGAAACGACATCAGATCAAGGTCAGATGTGACAAATTAGGTATATGGAATAACATTCGACCTTTGATACTCGAAGGAATTGTTGACGCTCTACAGACCTGCTATTACATTTGCACCTATTTAAACCGATCCAAATATATGCTTAGTTGAATAATCTACATAAACAAATATATTTCTAATGATGATGATTTATTTCTGATTGTCTACCACAAATTGGTAGAAAAAAAACAGTATAGACGCTTAAACCAAAAATCACCAGCTTTCAACTGATTTTGAACAAATTAATAAAGTCCAAATAAGTTGTATAAAACAACTACCTATATATTAGTGAATTTGTAACATTGTTTACATAGAAAAGAATTACTTTATCAAGTTCATTTTTCTTATTATTATACTATTTTTCGTCGAAAGGAAATTGATAAATAAACGTGTCGCTTTTTACACGAGGATTGTGATCGATAACTTTTACAAATATTGTTATGGTTCACGAGTGATTAATTTAAAATATTGTTTACTTTCTATTTTGCACTGTTGATATCGTCTTGTTCGACCGCAACAAAATATAATATTCGGAAATAAAATACTAAAAGACAAAACTAAAAGGAGATAAAAAGAAAGTAGGTTAGGATGTATCAGTGGAAAAACCAATGTGTCATTCGACGCGATTGCCTGCAACGCAGTGTGGTCCGAAGAGGTCGATGCACTCGAATCAGCTGATCGTACGTGTCATAAGATGAAGAGAAAACGAATGTAAATCAAGATCAAAATGCCAGTCAGAAGACAGATTCTAAGACGATTTAATATACAAATAATTAAATGATGCGAGATGAGTTACCTTTTTGGCGAGTTAAGTTTTACATTTGAAAGATTTTAACTCGCTAGAGAAGCAAGTCAACTCAACCCTGCAGAGAGATGCCGTAAAAATGTCCCAATCCACTTCGAAATAGAGTACAAAAAATATTTTTACTAATTAATTACTTATAAATAATTAGGAATATTATCAATGTGACTCTCTACTTACTTATCACACTTTAAACACGAATATTAAAATTTAAAAGCTTTAGAATATCTATTCTATCTAGACTGATCTTATTTTTTCCTTTATATGGTAAAGAACGAGTTTTTATATATATATATATATTAATTTCACTACGCAATGATGAAAGATGAGTTCGCATTTTATCATATAGAAATAATTTAATAAATTCACGTTTTGACATAATGAAATATGTGAAATATATTTATAAATTTTCAGTTAATTCAATTTTTTTTTTACTTGTTAGAATGTCTCTTCGTCTATTTTCTTTTATAAATTATATAGATTGCTAAACTAATTTAATGTGCGTTTTCTTAAACAAAACTTTCGCTTCTATACTAATATTATAAAGAGGAATGATTGGATTGTTTCTTTGTTTGTTTGCGTCGAGTAGGCTCCGAAGGTACTGGACCGATTTTAAAAATTCTTTGACCAAGGGAAGCTACATCATATGCGGTGGACATAGGTTATATTTTATCCCGAAAAACAACAAATAAAGGGATGAAAATGGGAGTGGAAATTTGAATAGGGAATTAAAAAACGTTACCATAGTAACTATTGTTTTCTATTCTATTTGTCATTGTTATTATATCCGGGTCATGATATGAATCGATAACCAAATAAACAGTTTCCTAGGGACCACGCGAGCGAAGCGGCTTTCGGAAAGCTAGTTATTAATAAGGTGTTGTAACATTACTATGGATTAACTCTTTGAACGATTTTCGGCCAATGCTGGCCGCTTATGTTTTGAAATTTTCCATTTCGTGTTTGAATGCGCTTTTCTTACTGGTTGAAAATGTTTTTTTTTTATTTGGACCGGCTTAGTGATAGCATCTAAGAGTAGTTATCTTTATCTATGAATACAAGAAGTTTGAAGACCTATTTCATTATTTAAAATCCCTGAGCCACTGTGGCGTTGCTAGATCATAGTATGTTAAACAAGTTAATTATTTCATATTATGTTTTATTACTACATTTTGTGTTATTCTGTAAAAAATCAGCGTCGAACTTGACTTCAAGTACCTATCAGATCATATAGGCCGGACAGACTCACGCCGAGAGGTATCTGAGAGCTTTCTTTGCGAAACTTCGACGAGACGAGAAGAAATATTAGGAATGAGAAGACGATAAACGTATCACATTCATGAGTTTCAGAAGTTCTCAGGGTTTCTCGGCGTGAGTCTATCCGGCCTAATATAGGCCTAATTAAATAACACGGGCTTCAAAAGGTAATAAAGATTTTTGAGTAGGCTTATTACAGAAATAGCTTTTCGCCAGCGGCTTTCGCCACGACAGCCATATAAACTCCACCTCTCTATTTCACCTCCTTAGGGGTTGAATTTCTAAAAACCCTTTCTTAGTGCTCACTTACATCATGAAAGGAACCCTTATATCAAATTTGAAGTTCGGACTTACCTAATACATGCGACCGAAGTCTGGGTATTAAATAAAACAAGTTTATCAAAGTTATTATAAAGTATTCCTTATTGACAAGTTTCATATACCACTAATTACGTAATGTCTAAGAATACAGTCTTATTTTGATTATAATAAAGAAAAGATATGTAGCATAAGTCTACTAAAAGATAGTTGGTTTCGAATAAATGCCACCAAAGATCATAGTCATAGTACTTTTCTCCATTAAGAAGTATATAAAAGGTCTGTTAGCAACAAAACCATGAGAAGATATTTTGTCAACAAAACTGGCTGTCGACGTAGCTGAAGCAACAGTACCAGATTCAGTCACTTCTATATCAGCCGTGTGTGCTATTGCCGATATGAAAATATCTTCGTTTGCAATTCTGTCAAACCTTGCACGATCCGCTTCAAAAATATCGAACACACCCATGTGTATGAGAGGCTTGTTCATTAAAACATTTGTTCTTATTTTAAATCTTGGTATTCTAACCTCTGTTTCTTGGCCTTCGAAATATTCACTGTCTTTTTTCAATTGTTCGAATATATCCCACATGTTGACATGTGCTAATCTTCTGTACACATCTGCAATTTTTACACCATTCAACGGAAGTAGGAACAGCATGCTGTATTTGCCGTCATTACCGTAGGGCATTTCTAGAGCATATGATTGCATTAATTTTATATTAGACATTGAAACAGCAGAGTTTTGGTACATCATATTCACACGTCCAATAGGGTTTTTATTCTCATCATAGAAAATCTCCACTTTGGTTTCGGATTTGTTAAAAGGCGAAGCCCAGAGACCTTTAAATGATATGGCGTTCGCTAATATCATTCTGGACTGTGCGAAGTCATCTGAATGGAGCACATTTCTTACTGTAGCGCCCGTTCGTTCTATTTTACTGTTCGCTATGTCTGCCGCATTTGGGCTCTTGAAGTCCAATATTTCGACTGCAGCACCAAAATCCGATTCGAGAGTTCTACGAAATTCGGGGAACACTTTAAAATTATTGTCTAGAAACACAAAGTTTTTCGTTGAGAGCGCAACTCCTTTCGTTTTTGTATTCAGAACAATAGATGTTAGTTCTTTATATCCTCTTATAATTTCTCTACTGTCTTTTGGCAGAATGAACGCCCTTGCCAGTTGATCAAAACTGTTTCCTGTAGCGCCCAAGGCGATCCCTGTCATCAGCGTCCATATTCCGAAGGGGGAGATGACTACATGGCCATCTGTCTCTAACTGTGTGTAATGCACCAATTCTATGCTAAAGTTCCTCGGTCTGTCACTGAATTGAATCGCACAATGACATGACGCGATGATGTATAGGGAAAATACCACGGTTCGCATTGTGTTCACGACCGTGTCCTGTCATTTACTGACTAGTTGCGTTAAAAGACGGACAAACTAATACAGACTCACGACGCTAACGGCAACAATCAATTTTGTATCTTACTCCTATACAGAAAAGTTGCTTTTTGTAATTGATGAACCGTAAGGAAAATTCATATGTGTATTATGAGTAGTTTTGCTAGACCGGTTTCAAAATTCACACACCTCTTCGGTTTGGTTTACGAGTTTTAAGTTTTGATTTTTTTTTTTCTGTAATTAACCGTTATTAATTGATATCGTTGTAATACTGATGCACTTGTCTTGATAATTTAACGCGTTTAAAATTAGTTTTTGCAATAGAACATATTCGTTGAATATGTTCTGATAATTCCTTGAATTCTTCTATATTCTTAGCAGATCTAAATACTAAATACATTAAACTTTTTATTGATTATATTGTTTGGATCCATAAAGGTAGTGTGATTATTACAAATTTTATTATTTTCATAAGAAGTATTATTGTGTGAAAAACTAAAAAAAACAGCTGGATATAATAACATTAAAATATTTTTAAAAACAGTTATGATGACCTAGATTCTCAAAAAAAATGAAGCAATAGAAAAATATTTAAGTTAAGTTATATTTTTTATATCTGTATTTCAACAATTTTGAAGTGTGGTGTTTAGGATACTAGGAATATAATAATAATCTTTATTGTACACATACTTAAATCTTACAATTACAATTGTAGAAAGGAGACGTATAAATGGCGGCATTGTCAATAGAAGTGATCTTTTCCATGCAAACTTGGGATAGAGTTCAATCTCAATTGAACTTATTATAATAGGTTAGTGGATGGTGTACTTATATACTGTTTATATTTAAAAATTAAATCGAGTTTTATGTTGCTGTTTATGAAAAAAAAACCATATTTTTAAGCTCGAGGGACACAAGTTTACGACTGTTTATTTGTCATAAGGTATGTTTAGTAAAACATAACTTTGATGCTAAGACATTGCATTATCATCATCATAATGTAAATGAACCATTGCTATTAAATACAGGACCATCGCAATTCATTAAAGTGAATTGCGAGTCCCGATATAAGAGCACTATATAAGAAGTACAAAACCGGTCATATGAAATCTCTAATAACCAGTTAATATTTAAATACTATTAAGTAAATTAGATTATGGCACATATTTATTATATTTTAAAAATGTATTTTATCGCGCCTTGATTTTACATAGTTCCTACTATGCAGAACGTACATATTGCTAATAATAAATTTACGGCGTTTCATTAAATTTTCCTGTAAGTGACGTTCGTTTCAATTAAATAAATGAAGGTCCTATACCTTATAAAAAAAATCAGAAAAATCACTTTTTTTAAACAATCTTTGATTGCATTTTTGTTTGGTCAGGAGATCTTGTATAGATAAACGAAATAAGCCCAAATTCCCTCCCTCCCAAAATAAATCAATCGAGCCCAAATTCAATGGATTCGGTTCTCTTATTAACAGAGGTTCAACAGTTTCCTTCCATCTCCATCATCAGATCAGCTCCATTCTATATTAGCATTGCATTGTCATCTAAGTTATATGTATATATCATTGCAAGATTTGCCCCACATTAACAAACAAACTAACACGACAATTTAGATAAAAACTTGTAATAAATTGCCTATGATGCTCTTGAAATCTGTATATAATATATATATAAAGGTATCACGAGCAAGTTTGGGAATAGGATTTATTGATATTTTAATTTTATCAATTGTTTGAAATAATATCAAATAAAAAACAGCTAGCTTTTTTCCCGGGTCTACGCTCTCATAAGTTGATGTGAGAGCTTGCCGTAGGTGAAAGAATTATTAAAATCGGTATCTCGGTATAAAATGTATAAATTTTTCTCCCGAGTAATCCCGATTTTATGAAATTTTGCCCAGATATTTTACGTTTCCCATCTGGCAACCCTTATTGCAATCAATCTAGATGACAAATAATTTGTTTGTGTTGCTTATCTTATGGCTCGAACATACCTATATATACGTAATCCAGTTCTAAGGAGTACACTGTAAGAAAACTCTGAATAAATAATATGTATTTCATTGTCGTTGACTGTCAATAGATGGCGCTAGTGATCTTTTTACGTGTTTATTATTCCGGGGTTCATAGGAGACTTGAGGGGGAAGCTGTGGTTTAAACTCTGTGGTTTAAACTCTAACAAAATATATAGGTTTAGAATCAAGCATCTAGGTATAATCTAACGTTATAATTCCCATTGTCGAAGTTACGTTGAAGAAGTAGAAACACAAATATATTCGTATTTTTGGTTATTCATTCCGAATGAGGAGTTTCTTAAATAAATAAGAATTCAAAAATCCTGATATATTTCCTGAGATTTTAAAAATCAACACGCAATCCTGAAAATAAATTAAGTCTTAAAATCTCAGCACGAACATTTAATTCTGAAGATTATATTATTTAACTTTACCAAAATCCTATACGAAAAATAAAAACTGTATTTTAAGTACATAAGTAATGTAATTCGATAAAAATAAACCTTGACCTTCCATTTATTTAAAGATTTTAAAATGGAATCTTATTTTTTATTGGTTAGATAGCATTTTGCACATAAAACGTTATTATCATTCTACGAGTATTTATCCTTGACATCCTTGGTGAGTGTAAACATCTTTGGCGGAAATATCCTTACTAGTTATTGGATGGGCCAAAGTTCAAAAAAAGGAAAAATTTATAGTTACTTTAAAAACATCTGCTGGGGCTTCCTCATGGATGGCTAAGGAGGATGAGCCACAATGCGGTTTGGAGGTTACTAAAGACTGTAAATGTATACGGGACCAACGGCTTAACGTGCCTTCCGAAGAATGGAGTAGCTCAAGATGATCATTTTTGGTCAAGTGATCCGGGCCGCGACCCTAATCCACTACGCCGCCAAGTTACTGTGGCCCGTATGTTGGTAATTAAAATCTTTGCCAACTCAAAAGCAAGAAAAATTGAGTTTGTTTGATGTATCTATGTCTATATACATTTTAAAATTAAATAATAACCTATGGTGTGTCATTAGTGCTTCCACAATTCAGGCTACACCCACAGGATGTGATAGACCCGAATACGCCAGATTTTTAAAGGTAGGCCCCCTCAGCGGGGAAAAGTACTACACATTTCCCCATCTGACGACAGGGATTTTGCGTAACGCATTTTCCCTGGATCAAACAAGATTAAACCACACCCAGTTTTAAATACAATCCTTATTGATTAATCACGACTTTATGCTCTAAATTAATGTTATTTTGTCATGACTAATGTCGCTTTAAACTAATGACAATTTTAATCTTGAACTGGGTGGAAAAAAAAAATCTTATATAAAACGTATAATGTTATAATATATGTGATAAAACTAAACCGTGAGAAATAACCATGAACCATGTGATGTGATATAAAATGCCTTTGACAATTGCAAAACATTATTCCTAACTAATACGACATTGCAATAAAATTTCTGTAATTGAATTTATACCGATATTATATCATAATTTAATTAAATGCCATCTTAGTGTGTTCAGGCGGTTCGCACAAATTATAATTTATAAAAAAGGTAATTATTACAATTGTTGTATGGTCAAATGCTCAAACGTCCATTCAGGTTTAATGACGCCTTTTAGCTCTAATGAATGTCTATATTGTATGGGTAATGTCACATTAAACTAATGAAACTTTAATGCAACTGGCAGCTAATCAGATAAGATTTAGATGAACAGTAAATAGGTACTTACACAAAATTATGTTTTAAAAGTGTCACTTTTTGTTAACACATGCGAGGAATCAAGTAACAAAAATTACAATAATATTATTATATTAGCTTTAATTTCTAAATATCTTTTTAAAATCCCTATCGTCAGATGGGGAAATGTGTAGTACTTTTCCCCGCTGAGGGGGCCTACCATTAAAAATCTGGGTATACACCCGATCGAGTGTGGCACTTGGAAACCATTCTTGGATTGGCCACCTGGTAAAAATAATAAATAGAAAAACCATTAAAAACTGTAGTTGCGTTCGGTTTCGATTCGTTTCCGATTCGATTTAAACAAAATTTAGTTAGTAGAATTGGCCCCCCGGCGTATTCGCCGGGTCTATCACATCCTGTGGGTGTAGGTATAGCCTGAATTGTGGAAGTACTCATGACACACCATGGGTTATAAATACTGAAAAGTACTGGTAAGAAACACATATTACCATATATAACCCTCGCTGGGGCACAGACCTTCCCTACAATCACCAGCCTATTACTGTCCTCACATTGAGGCCCCTATGGATGGAATGGACTCAAATTGAATAGTGCAGATTGTTGGGTATTAATGCTGCAAATGCAGTCGTGGCTAACGGCATAGCATGCCTTCCGAAGCACGCTCGAGATAATAATTTTTTTGGCACCCATCCTACGACCGTCCCTTGCGAAAGTAGCTTAACAACCGTATTGCAGACCGAGCGTGCTAACCTCTACGCCAACGGGATATCTTCCTTATAGATTAAATAAGGAGAACAGGAAATTAGTGTTAATGACTGCAGATGCAGCCTGGCCAATAGGCATAACGAACCCTCCGAAGTAGGGAGGAACTCGAGATAGTAAAGTGGTAACCATCTGGCCATTGAAAAAAAAGTTGCTCAAATTTCGTATCGCAGACCGAATGCGTTAATCACTGCACTACGAAGCTCCTATTTTATATTATACTAGCTCTTGTCCCGCGACTTTACACGCGTAATTTATAGACTATGTCAACCACGTATGATGTAGCTACGCGTAGGTGAAAGATTTTTTAATTCGGTCCAGTAATTTTGGAGCCGGAGTTAACGCAAAAAAAAAACAATCATATCGCTCCTCTTTATAATAATGTAGTATAGATGCCTCTAATATATGTTTTTAAGTTTCGAAGTAACCATTGTAAACAGATTTCTCTATGGTACGCACAGCAAAGAGGCGGACATGATCTCATTTATCGACTGACACATGCTCCATCCATAGCAGACGCGCTTCACTGGTGCACTTAGAAGAGCGATTGCGAAATTTCCTACATAACTAACCTTGGAGTGCCGACTCCCTAACAAATACATCGGAATAAGTATATCGGATGTATTGTTCTTTGTTTCGCACAGTTAGAATCAAGGTCCGCACGGCAATTGTTTCATTTCCGACATTTGGGCACAATTTTATACTTACCTACGTCAGAAAGTTTAATGAGTTTCAATTCAATCTTATTAAGACCTCCCTCTGATCACAGACAATGACAAAATCTCTGACATTTGAGGTACTAATGTCTACTCCCAGCTGTCTTACCATATCCCGACTAAGGTTTGCGTACGTAATTATAAGAAGATTGATCCTTTTCTGGTGCACTATATTAACAATGATTATTGAAGTTTCTTAATTCAAAAAAATATAATTCTGGTAATTGGCATATAAGTATCATAATTTTTACCCGAATTACTATTGCTACAACTTGAGTATCGTTAATAGCACGGGTAGAACAGCGTCAGAACTCCATGACTGTATTTTCCATAAGGAAAAATTTGACGTGGATGATTATTACAAGCGATTTAGTTGCCTTGATATTTAATGAGGGATAAATCAAGCAAGTTCAATTTGACCCACTTACCGCTTTTTGATTCAGCTGTTAATAATACAAATTGGAGCCTTATTTATAGTACGTAAGAAATTATTATGATACCTTTATTAAAAAGTATTGCCGTTCTAAGTTTCAGACTTCAAATAGCGAGAGGTGAATTTCTGGGTAAATGCATTCCACAAAATGTAAATGACTTACATGTAAAAAATATATAATAATCATGTAAAGAACGCATACTAATGAGTAAAGGCCATTATGAAGTTGATAGTTATTTTATGGAAGTTGATAATTGATCTAAATATCGTTACTTCTGATAAAGTGTTTGTAAGTTTCTTTCGATTTTTATTCTTGTCAGCGAATATACGTACTTGAACAAGTGGCAGGGAAAATACTTTGGACGATTCAAAACTTAAGCTTACTTGAATAAAAACAGTTATTATTTTCACTATAATGAAAAGAAAACCTATCGAATTTGGACTCGATATCTCAAACGATACGACGATAAAATGATATGATTTGGAAATAAACTCCTGCTGTCGAGAATAATAGAAATTTTTGGTATTGATTTCTTTTGCGGTTAAAAGTGAAATATAAAATATATAACGTTAGCTCAGTTAGCTATAAGTATTATTTATTTATTTATTTATACACACACAACTTAATCTATTATTACAGGTTACCAAAAAATTATTATCTCGAGCTACTCCGTGCTTCGGAATGCACGTTAAGCCGTTGGTCCCGGCTGCATTTGCAGTCGTTAATACCCTCCAATCCGCATTGGGCCAGCGTGGAGGGTCATGGCCCATCCTCCTTAACCATCCATAAGGAAGGCCTGAGCCCCTGCAGTGGGGACGTAAAAGGGCTGATGATGATGATACATACGTGACCCAATGCAATAGTTAAGCAAAGTCAATTAGTAGTAGTACAGAATTATTCCAATTTCTATCTAGGTATAACATAATATATACATTGCCGTTTTTGAGAATTCACTCGGAGAACAACAAAATATGTCTACACTCTCGGATATTTTATTTAGGTATATCTCATTAATGAGTCAGTCTAGTAGGTTTGGAGATTATTCAATGTAAACAAACAAATAATCAAATCTTACCTCATTGTATTGTTAGTGTAGACACAAGACAAACAAAAGTATTATATAAAATTCAACTTTTACTATTAGTGTAGTGATATACAATTCTTAATATCCTAAACTGTTTTTCAGATTCTCAAAAAATACTATCGTTCTAAAAGTTCATGAAAATTTCATATCTACATTCTTAAAAACGCTTATGCTCAGCAGTTGGTGTCGTATAGCTGATAATGAAACATAAAAATACGTTTATAATTAAAAATATCGCAATAAAGGTAACAATCATTTCAGTTTTTTAAGGATTTTTCCAAAGGTATTATGCTGTTTTAAGTATTCATAATTTACAGATATAGCCTTTACGCAAAGCTAAAATAATAATATCAAAATAAAAAAAAAAGAATTTGTAAGATATTTAGAAGAAAAACTCAACATGATGATTGGTGAATTTTGATATTGTGTTTTTTTTTAACGACACAATAATTACATAAATGGCTAAAAATTATTAAGTTTTTGTATGTTAATTCTTTTCGAAACATTTTATATCTAATATATAGTAAGTAAAACTAAATTGGAATATTGTATGAACTCTACGTTAAGGTCTCTGCATGTGATCACTATTTCTAGAAAAAATTCAACACAAAAAGCTTTTATTATTTCTTCGTATTGATTTTATAGTATGTTTACTGTATCCTGTATGATCTAATTTTGGAATGCTATAAAAAAAATCTTAAAATATACGCTTTATTGCAAAATTTACGTACGAAACATAAAATCGTGGGTCACGTCTTATAGTTCCTCTTGTAAAACATTGAACATTGATAAAAAACAGTACATACAGTTAATACCATACACAGAAACTTTACATCAGAATTTTTCAAGTTATGATAACTATTATAATGATTTTTAAATATTTAGTGTCAATTTTTTTTTCTCACAAAAACACAGCGGAAATTTAAAATAAAAAGTTTTATATTATCAAAGTCAATATTAATGAAATTTTTAAACACACAAGATATTCGCAATTCATGTACCTACTTCATTATCTTTTTTAGTTTTTAATGTAATCGTTTTCTATTATAACAATAGAATTTATAAATATTATTATTCGTATCACATGGATACAACCAACTGGTTAAAACAGCCACAAAATAGGACAGCTAGTCCCTTAATTGAATGTATGGTTAGTTGACTAGTTGAATCATTATGAAATTTAAAACGTTCAATATTATGATTGGATTGATATAAAAACTGCTGTAACATTCATTTATTATATTTCCCCGAAATCGTGGCGTCGTTTCTCTTTGTTAAAAAAATGTGTCAACAGTGAATCGATGTCTGTTGGTTTTTTATCACTATACCTATATTGTGTTTTTAAAGAAGACATTATAAGTCACCACATCATCATCACCAGCCCTTTTACGTCGCCACTGCAGGGGCTCAGGCCTTCCTTATGGATGGTTAAAGAGGATGGGCCATGACCCTCCACGCTGGCCCAACGCGGATTGGAGGGTATTAACGACTGCAAATGCAGCCGGGACCAACGGCTTAACGTGCCTTCCGAAGCATGAAGTAGCTCGAGATAATCATTTTTTGGTCACCCATCCCGTGACCGACCCTTGCGAAAGTTGCTTAACGACAACGATCGCGTGCCGCGGCGCTTATCCACTACGCCACCGAGCTACTTATTACATTATAAGTGGTCCGTGTTATTTATAAGTGATAAGTAGTGAAGTAGCCAACGAGTGATCAAAAGAAATTAAAATTCCAACAATATTTTAAGGAAAAAATGCATGATTATAAAATTTTACATTTATTCTTACCTAATATTTATAAGTTTTTAATGATTAATGTATTATAATTATTTAGTTTATTGATGATGTCCCGTGTCATTATCCTTATCAGTAAATCCGTTCGCGTGGGAAAGTAAAACGTTGTATCCAGATAGGTACTAATATAACCGAAGTTTAGCCATATAACTGAATAGCGCTATTCAAATAAAGGGTTAACGACCCAGATGGGCGGCTGTTTTTCATCAGTTGGCTGCAATCCTTGTGTTGTGGCAAGGCAGAATTTATCATTCATTTGTCTTAGAATTTGTTTAGAATTTATTAATTTATTAGGAATTAATCATATATATCGCTTACTTAACACTCGTAAATAAGTAATTCTTAAATTATGAGGTAGGAAGCCATTATATTTACCCATGCCAATGAAACAATTTTTTTTTTATTTGATAGGGGGAGGACGAGCTGACGGATCACCTGATGGTAAGTGATTACCGTCGCCCATGGACACCGGCAACACCAGAGGGGCTACAAGCGCGCTGCCGGCCTTTGAGGGACTAATAGGATCATAGGGAGGGAAGGGTTGAGGGGTAGAGGGGAAGGAAATAGGGAGGGTACCGTCACTCACACGACGAAACACAACGCAAGCGTTGCTTCACGTCGGTTTTCTGTGAGGCCGTGGTATCACTCCGGTCGAGCCGGCCCATTCATGCCGAAGCGTGGCTCTCCCACGCCATGTTCAGAATTACCCCATGTTCAGAATTCATGATAAATTTAACATACCTGAATGATTATTTGATTTGATCAAATTTATATTCATAATATATTGATAAATAGCAGCCGCCAGGGTTGCGAAAGGTTGTTTGGGTCTCACCTCAGTATAAGTACCTGATAGAGATGCAAGGTTCAATAAAATATTAATATACATATAGCTTTATTTCACCATGTTGTTATATAGATGTTATGTTATATAATATTAATTATATAATAGGACACAAACATGAACCTGTAAGGGAACAGCAATTTCTTAATGCTAAATAATTCTACCAATTTTTTGCTTTAATTCAACCTCTTCAAAAATCATCTAGTGAATATAAACAATTTTCAATTATTTTTTTTTAATTTTATTTTTATTTTTGGTGACGTTGGTGGTACGGAAAAAAGGTAGGATGCTGTTTTACAAATTCAAAAGCAGAAAATATGTATAGGGATGGCAGGGTTAGAATATTTAACTTAGTGAAGTATGCAGCTATCCATAACACTCATATTTTCTAGAATTCGTATGCACCGTTTTTGCAGTCGGAAAAGTTTATCTACTCCAGAACTGTTTCCCCATCTTATGTAAATTCAAAAGACATTGTTTGTATAACATAAGGTTTATAAATAAAATTCATTTTATCATAAATTGATTTTAAAAATTCAGTTTATTAACGTGAAGACTGTTCGTACCTGGGGATAGTGGATTTTTTTTTCATCAAAAACCTGAATAAGTTACTTACAGATTTTGTGGCCTCATTTAAACGTGTATTTACTTAACTGTAACATATATCTAAGAGTAATGTTCTTATCAATGTAGTAATTTGCAAACTTTCATATTCAAAATGTGACCAATTAAAAACTTTTTGATTCAGACCTTTTGTGGGTATTTATTTACTATGGCACAAAGCACGGATAATACTTATTATAACTATGGTAACAACAATCGCGTTAAAGATGAGGTTAAAAAACACAATAGTGACCGATTACCAGTGTTTATATGTTTCATAACAATATTACGCAATGATTGACATGAAGATTAGACAAATAAAAAGGATATATCATCTTTATTGGTGTATGTAAAGCGGTAGTTCCGGCTTTGATTCTCAGTCGAGTTAATGTAGAAATCAAAGTTAATGTAAAACATAACGATCTTATTCGGATTAACCACAGTTTTACTGCCTTATTTTAATTTCAAAATAATCATTTATTTTAATTTCATTAAGTGAGCAGTTAATTATGTATACTCACAAGTTATGTTACTCATTTGATACCCTTAATGATAAAATTAAAGGAGATAATGTTTTATATATTTTTATGTTGATTTTATATGGTGTCGTAGATCCGCCATTTTATATTTACACTCTGTATGATGTAACGTTTTTAATGATACCATATTATACCTATATATATGTCGTGGGTCAATTGTTGAATTGGGCCGATCGAGATGTGCCAAGGCGTATCACGATACGCCGCCATTTCTTGATTTGACCATCAATCATACGCCATATCGTTGACGATTTTGACGACTATACTCAGGCCAGTTAACCCTAAACACATGCACTTCTTTTTTGAGCAGTACTGTTAAAAGAAAGACTAAATCGAAAAACACATCATCATCATCATCATTATCTGCTTATAAATGTTCCCACTGCTTGGACACAGGCAGGATAGAATTGAACCCAATTAACTAGGTAGAATGGGTTACCCACCACAGTGCGGATAGGTATGTGTTAATGATTGCAGATACAACCAGGATCAACAATGGTTTCCGAAGCGCAAAAAAATTTGATATAATAAATTTTCGGTCATCCATCCCATGACTAGCCTCTGCGAAAGGCCTTTCTTATCGCAGACTGAACGCGCAAAACATGAGCTATCAAACTTAGGCACGGAACTTTATTAGGGTCTTACCTCGAAAAGAAAAAACGGGACACTTATAGGGTCACTTTGTTGTCCGTTGGTCTATCCGTCTGTCAAGCCCCTTTTACTCAGGAACGCGTATAGGTATCAAGCTGAAATTAATATACAATAGTCTACTGTCCCTTGGAGCTGTGAAAAAATCAAACTTCTAAGTCAACACAATCAAAAGATTTATGCCGCATGTTTAACACAAAAACTTGCACTCGGAACTCAAACGAGGTACTCACTCGCGAGGTGCCTCGTTTGAGTTCCTCATTTCGACAAAATGAGGGAGTACTCGTTTTTCAATTTTGAACCACTTCATTAAGCTCCTCACTTTTTGAGTGAGGAGCTAAATAGCGAGTTGTTTTAAATGAAAAGGCGACTCAATACTTACTCAATTTATTCAAGATTGAGGAAATTGGTTAAGTTTTATGAGTTTTTTGGAACGATTCAGGTTTGTTTATGTGTTTCTTCGGAAATACGTATTTAATATTTATAGATGAATGATATTAATTAGTCTAAGTAAAAATCAAAGTTAATAAAAATGTATCGGTTTTATTTAGAAATATATTTATATGATTCGAAATATAAATGATTGATCGATTTTACACTATTGAACATTTGACACTATTGCAAATAACTTGAGTGTTGTGGTCATTCTGTTAAATAATAATCTAATAAAGTTTATCTTTTAGAATCTAAAGACAAAATATGTTTTGTTTAGCATTACCAATACCGACTCCCTCCCTCATTTTGTACCAAACGGCAATGTTGCGCGCGCCTCGCTACGTACTCATTCACTGCTACTATAACACTACCTATCCTCACCTCAAACGAGGGGTAACTCGCGAGCCCCTCACGAGGGAAAATGAGGGACTCACTCATCCTCATTAAAAAAGAGTGAGTAACACAACGCTACACTATAGGGGGGGGGCGCTAGTAAACAATAAAACACACATACTAGGAACTACTACCGCCGTGGTTCAAAAACGCGATATCGGTGTTTCATAAGGCTAACAATTATATAAAATAATAGAAATAAATTTACTACCGCGATGCCAAATCGCACAACGTCATCTATTGATGGACGTGAGAAATTTTACATCTATATAAGAAAATAATGAATTTTTAACATTGATTCCGCCCACCAAGGACTTGTCCTTCAGTTTAAACAATATCAGTATTTCATTCAAATAATATTAGTAATTACGAGTTTTTATAAAATGCTACAAACTATTCTAACATTAAAAATAAATATAGTTAAACAGATTCCGCCCACCGTGACAAAATGTGGAGTTAAAAAGAAAACTTTTAAATTCGAAACAACAAAACATGAAAAAATGAAAACAATCACTTTTAGTAGAGAGATAAAAAATGTAAATAAACTTGGAACAACACATCTTATTTAGGCAAAAGACAAAGCTTACTGTAACGGTGTGCCATGCCACCGTTTTTTTCCTAGGTTTCAGTATGCAAACTTTTTGTTTTTGAAATTCAACATCATTTCATTTTATTATTCGTCTTTCGTAATTTAAAATTTTGACTTATCAATTATACTCTTTATGGATATCAGTTCGTAAGAAATTCTCCTATGCACAAGATGAAATTATAATACAATACAATATTAATGGTATAAATTTTACTATGTAATTTTAAAATAATTCATTTATTGTGATAAATAATGTGATATGGTGATACAAATTATATAACATATGTAACTACTAAATTGTAATCTGTATTTTGGAAGATCCAAAAGTTAACTAGAAGTCCGACAAGGGGTATGTATTCGTTTATTTGATAAGTATGTATTAGTTAAGTAACTTACGAACTGTTTTTATAAATTTATTTTTGTTTATTACAGTTTTTTCTTATTACCCTTATTTAACTAATAAATATATACTCAAGCTAAGCAGCCTTATTAATTGACCCAAGCACCGAACCCGTTACAGGACGCTTTATCAATTTATCTTTACATCTTATAGTGACTATTCGTGTGACATTATCTTTGCCAGTATGTTTTTGCACAATTCTACCAAGAATCCATTTAGTAGGAGGCAAATTCTCCTCACGTATTACAACCACATCATCAATATCTACTTCAGATTTTTTTGTACTCCATTTATATCTTTTATCTAAGTTTAACACCGCAAATTTCCGCAAATTCTCGAAACCCGCAAAGGAATAATAATCTACAGGGTACCTACTGCGAACTCAGAATCTTGTAATTTAGTACGAAGCAATGTATAAGCTATAATTTTCCTTTATCTGTGTTAACAGATAGCCATTTTTCCTTTATCTGTTAGCACAGATAAAGGAAAAATGGAATAATAACTTACAGGGTACCTACTGTGAACTCAGAATCTTGTAATTTAGTACGAAGCAATGTATTAGCTACAATTTTCCTTTATCTGTGCTAACAGATAAAGGAAAAATGGCGATACCCGTAAATTTTTAGTTACATCACATAATTAATTTAATTTTAATAAATACCTACGGGGTTGTTCGGAACTCTCGGTGCGCGATTCGGCCGGTTTTTTTTTATATAACTTGTTAATTTATTTCCAGGCAAAAATCTCAAATAATTGATTTTATCGTTTATTTCTCCTAAATGCAGCGTGCAGCCTTTGTTTTTGTATCCTTCTTCATTTCTTAAAATAGATTGCCTGGAAGAGATCGCTGTTTAGCGACCTTATGTCGCCCGTTGTATAGCTTCAGTCCAAAAAAATGTAGTAGTAATTTTAAGTCTTTTTATTTCTTGTACAATAAAGTGTGTCAAATAAATAAATAATGTTGACAGGTAAAAAAAAAAACATTCAAATTCCATCTACTTATCAAACATATAATGTAGGGTTAACTTCAAATCTAGGATAACACGAAGCTCTTAAAATGCATATTGAACATTGTAAAAATATACTGAAATAGATTAAAACTATTAACTTTGACTTTGACGAGGTTTGACAGATTTTAATTTTTTATTCTTAATAGAAAATTCCAACCTCCTTTATATTTCAAATTTGCAAGAAAGAAAATGAACTTTATTATATTATGAAGCATTTGAAAATGATCCGGGCAACAAACTCACGTATGAAAGAGAATTTTGTAACAAACAGTTATTTGTTACATTTAATCGCTAAGTTACCTGAAAACTAACCAATATCTTAAAATACGCATTAGATGGAGACCAATTAAATGATAAAATATCTTTTTTAAATAATTTATTTGTTAATAATTATATAAAACAATATGGATACTGAATATTTTGCATGATGATATAAAATAATTATACAAGTTCTAACTCATGTTTATAAGAAAGAACTTATTTTTTTGTTATCAAGAAATACATTTATGATTTATAATTTTTCTTCTGTATACCGGTTTTAGTATCTCTTATAAATTATTTGTTGCTTTACAATAGTTGGATAAAACATATATTTGTCTCAAAAGGCTTGATTAATTACATTTAAGATAGGACTGACATGTTTTTATTATTTTTAGCGATTCACTTAATCAATTTAAGAACAAGTTTATAAATTATACGTATAACTATAATGTCATTAATTTACAACTATAATTCTATGGCATTCCAATTATTAACAATAAATGACTACAGTATCACAAATCGATCATTCACAATAAACTTCATACATATAGCTCTTTTTTTTTAATTCCTCTATTTTTACAAATTTATATAAGTCCACAATTTACACGCAAAACTAATATTCACTATTAATAAAATAATAAGCGTAATTTAATCAAAACAACGATGGTTGACCGTACACTCCAGCAAATAATATAACATTCGCATTTTTCTCCATAATCAAGAACACAAACTCACGATTAGCTTCAAACCTTTGCCCTAAAATTCTATTCTCTAAACCTACAACTGTAGAAGCGGCTGCTGTTGTTCCTTCTTCAGTCACTTCCAACTCAACACTTTGAATAGTCTTAGTGACGTATAAAGGAGTATCAGAAACACCTGGCAACTGGGCTTTCATCGCATCGAAAATAGAATGGATACCACTATATTGAAGAGGTGTAATTAAATCTTGTTGCGTGGAAATCTTAAATCTTGGAATAAGAACGTCTATATCTGTACCACCTCCTGATTCTCTTAACTCATCCATCCAGTCCAGAGAATTAGTGGCGAGATTGTTCAATAGCTTTTTTACAGGTACACCATTGGCTGGCAAAAGTATGAGCATTGAAAACTGAGAGGATTTCCCATAGGTCATTTCTAAAACTTGAGCTTCGATTTGAGGTGGATACGCTAAATTATGGGGCGCTTTCTGGTACATTAAATTAACTGTACCGACATGTTTTCCCAAAGAATCATAGAAGGCACCCTGTTTAGTTTGCAATGGATCAAACTGATAAGTCCAAGTTGCTTTGAAGTATAAAGCGTCGACTAATACCATTCTTAAGTTTTCCAAAGCTTCGGATGTCACTGCGTTTGTTATTAATCCATCTGTGGCGAGGCACACGTAGTAGTTTATATCGTTAGCCAGCTTTGTAGTGTTGCTAGGATCAACAGAGTAGATGTCTGTGTTATAAGATGTTGCAGCTTGACAAAACTCAGGATGAACCTCTAAAGAGCAATCGGTAAACATAGCTGATTGCCCTTTCAAAATGACGTCTTGATTGCCACTATTCAAAAGGCTGTTCAAAGCCATGTGTAAAGATTGTGTCTTGCGCAAATCCCTAGGGAGTCTCAATCCATTCATAAGTTCGAAGAACGTATCCCCTGATGATCCTTCGGCCAAAAGCGAGAATATACTCCACACTGAGAGTGGTGACAGTACAACATTCTTCGTGTTAAAGTTCTCTTGAAATGCATACGTGTTTTCCAATAGTTGTAGTGCGAATTGGTTAACGTTAGCGAAATCGTTTACCGCCGGCGCCGCGTGCGTTGCTGTCGCAAAGATCAAGTATGTAACGACCTTCCACATTTTACACGACTAAATTGCAGAGGCTTACTCGCAATACTGATGGTAAAAAGCGATGCTATCAATTTCAATGGTTTTCTCACGTGTGTTGCTCACAATGGGTATCATTTAACTGGTTAGGCAACGTTCATCTCTACGATTTAGTACTAAGGGCTTATATGTACGCTGTTATTATTTTTCATTCGTTCGATCCCCTGTTTCAAATCATAAATCGATTGGACAACAATTTAGGTCTAATTTAAGAATTAATTTAGCTATGAACTTACTAGAAGTTGTATATTTTTACTGACTCTCTGTCTTGAAACTCTGTTGTGTATCATTAAAACGAAATAGGTGTTTGGTCTAGTCGGTAGATATTTAAGCACAGAATTTTAGTGATACTCGACGTTTATTACAATACAGATATTGTATGATGCTGCATTTTTCATTATGATCTTCATTCCGGATTTAACTATGCAATTGTAACGCTTTGTTATGTGTTACGAATGTTTAAATAACCATTCAAGGTAAATCATGTCAGGTTTTTACTAATAGATACATGCAGTGTTTATTAAATAATGTTTGAAATATAAATGTAGTTTGCTAGCAAGGGTAACTTGGGAATGGCTGGTAAAAATTATTCGGTATTTATTATTTTGTGTAATTAAAAAGCACCCAAAACTTTTGTTAAAAAAAAAAATGGTCTTTTTTTGCTTTTATCACTGTTTTTCAATAAACTACAGTTAAGAAATAGACAATTACATCATATTTTTCAAGTCTATTATCAATGTGATGACTCAGACGAGAGAAAAAAACAGCCGCCTCATATGACTGCTATGGCTGTCTTGGCTATTATTCTGATGTTTCTGATATATATCATAAATAGCATATTTACTTATTTAAAAAACCTCGATAACTACAAAATATTCAAAGTAATAATATTAGAAGTATTTTAGTTGAGCCAACAACATACCAGAAAATATTGTACAAATCTGTCGCGTCTAAAGCTTATTTTTTTGGAAGCATTGTTAAAAATTTTACATTGTTTGTTAACCGGATGTGTTGATGTTTACTAAAAATTTTTCCTTTTGTTATTAAAATATTAAAAATTACAATAATATATTTTAAGCAGTGAAAGGAGTAATTCGGTGTAAAGAGATACATTCAAGGCTCCGATGCGGTCGTACATGCGGGTAAACGATCAACCTTTATTTGTTTTATAAATACCTTGTAAGTCAAGTAACATTTTCTAAGGATGCTACCAGTTTTATTCAATAGGGTTGCCACTTTCACACCTCATAATATTCAATAAATTCTATATGATTATGTTTTGTTTTAAATCACTGTTAAAATTGATAAAAAAATAACTTTGTAAACTTGATATAATTATAATATGTAATTATATTAAGTTTTACAAAAGATATTCCACAAAAATATTAAGTAAAATATAAAGTAAGCAGCAAGCTAGTAGTCACACTACCTGGCGAAGATATTAGATAAGCAAATTTATAAGATAAAAAAATTAAATATAGATAATTTGTAAAACTATGTTGTACATATTTAAAAAAATAGCTGTTTTTGCCAAGACTGACTGTCGATAACATTAAAAAACTAGCGAAGTAAATATAGATGCTACTGACAAATTAACAGTAAGCACAAAAATATTGGGTAAAAATTAATAGTAACATGAATTGGTAGCCCTAATAAAATGTGTCAATCAAATCTAATGTCGCAAATCAATTTCAAAACCACTCCAATGTTAAACATTGATGCTTGAACTTCAAAAAAGGTTACGCAATTAACAATCTTCATCATATCTTCATTGATATTTGGTGTTTTAATTGGATTACAAGAAAGTTCAGTGTCATAGATTTATTAATCCACTTTATATGCGAATGCAGGAATTAGAAACTCATTATTTATTTTTTCGCAATCTCTTTAATTGGACCGTTACTCATCTTCGAAGGATCAGTTTTCTGGTTTAAACTATTAGATTATTTATACCCAAGTAAGTTTATAGATTCCCAGTAAGTTTATAATAAACCTGTATTTTCCAAATACAGGTTTATAATACTTACCGGGAATCTCACCACAATATTGTAAGCAAATGATTTTTGTTAATGAAATAAAACATTTTTCTTTTTTTTTAGAAACCATATATCTGTAATTCGTTGGGTTATTAGTTGGAATCAAAATAGAAATCGCATGGAAAGAAAAATTAAATAGAAAATTTGAGAAAAAACAAACCTTTTTTGCCATACTGTTTAAATTAAATATAGATTTATTTGACTTTTTTTACAATCATCGTATCATAATGTTTTATGATTTCATTGTCACTGACGTTATTAATAATAATTAATATCATTACATCGTACAATAACGTTAGGCACCCCTATTCAGGTGGGTAGAGACAAAGTATTTTTAAAAATTGTATCTATGTACTTTTTACGTTACGTAAACACAGATTAGCATAAAAAACAAACTTGTAACTTTCAATTGTATTAGCATAATTATTTGACGGTATACGGGTATACAGACAGTATAATATGAATTCCTGCCAATGACTCCAAGTACCCTAGAAAAGTGACACCTAGAATTATGTATCCACCTATGATAGTATTAACATGATCCACGCGGTTGAAAACCAACATTCCAACAGAGTTGACCTTTGTTTGTTGTCAACCGTCTTCAGTGGCAAACTAAGGTGAGGGGGGGATGTTGGTCCGCCCCGGGCCTCTGTCCTGGGAGGCCTCGAAAAAGCTGCAAGTTCCCTTGATCAAATAAGTTGTGGTTGTACTGCTTATCTTTTTTATATCTGTTTCGTAGTTTTAGCAAAGTTTTCCAACCGGGAAAATGGGTCCGAGACTGATGGCGCCCCAGGCACCCGAAGAGTTAGTCCGCCACTGACTGTCTTTTAAACGGCGGCAGTTATGAAAACTAAGTTTCCGCCAAGGTCATCTTTATCGTAACACTCATTTTCAATCGTGTGGATGGTACTTTATTTGATTTCCAATAAAATTAAAATATATCTGCGGCCCGAAAAATAAAACAAAAACACACACTCTAAAACCCGTATAAAGTTTAATTGGTTATTCAAGAATATTCATTCAAAATAATAATAGTGCATGGACAATACAGTATATCTATTTAGAAAACTCATATAAATATATCTTACTTATAAAACAACTCACTTATAAACAAAAGAAAATCATAAAATCAGCATTAAACTTCCTTTGAAAACCAAATACTGATTTCGTTTAGTGCGACATCTTCGGTATCGTCGTGGAACGATGCAGTTTACGAAATCGTGAGGTTTCTACGGAACGTTTCACCAATTGATTCTTTTACTCTACAATAGATGTCGCTTATTTTGCTTTAAAGCTTGAACAACAATGAAATCACTAATGCATTTTTCAGTAAGTATATTTTCCAGTTGATCAAATATAACAACAATGAATACAATTTATTGACAAAATAATATATTTAATACTACCTGTACTAGCTGTTTTCGCGCGGCTTCGTCCGCGTAAAATTACATAAATAGCCTTTGTCACTCGTGTTTTATGTAACTTCCTGTGGATAAATTAATTTTCCAAATCGATACAGTAGCTTTCCTCTTTATAATATTATTACCTATAGATAATATTTATTAACATATAAAATATTTATAAACATAAATTGTATCACTATCACTACATAGTATAAAACAAAGTCGCATTCTCTGTCCTTATATCCCTATGTATGCTTAAATATTTAAACTACGCAACGGATTTTGATGCGGTTTCTTTTCATAGATAGGGTGATTCAAAAGGGAGGTTTTTATGTATAATACCTGACCATGCGGGGAAAGACGCTGGCGGAAAGCTAGTTTTAGTAATAAACCACTAGTAGTAATAAACCATAGTAGCAAAGTTGTACTTTGTTGTTTGGTTAGACACGAATCTTTTATTTTCTTACCAATTTAATGAGTAGTATTTTGCTATTGAAAGTATTTTATTTTTATTAGTCTGTATTATCGGCATTATAATTCAAGCTTGACGGCGTAGTTGTTGGCCCGTTCAGTCCATTACTGTGATAAAATCCTTAAAAATATGATGCAGGTAAGTAGTTTTAGTTTTCTCTATTATTTTGACGTTATTATTTGGTACAAGTTAATCGAAAAATACTTAGTCCTTACATAAGCATATTCAGCTTTCATCTTTGCAGATTATTTCCTAGAAATACCAATTATAATTTTCAGTTTCGTAACGAATGCTTTTCATATAATTCCACAGCTATCGTAAATCGTTAACTTAAGCGTTCGGTAACATGTTGCTATGGCATCGAACACCATAGATAATACCTATGCGATATTCATATTGTACGTACTCGTAGTGCTGTTAAAACTATATCTTGGTTAATTAACATAGTTCGTGTGACAGTTAGCGAGTATACGGGCGCGGATTGCACCGCTAATTAATCAAAATGAAATAACCCGAATATCAGTTAGTCATGTAGCACATTGTAATAGAAACTCTATTGTATTTGCATGGAATAGAATTCAGACAAGAGTTCTTTATACTAATAATATCGAATCAAATATGTTCCGTAACCACTGGAAGCTACATCATATACGGTGGACATAGGCTATTTTTATTCCGAAGCATAACATATTATATCCGTGTTATGATATGAAACGTAATTCAAATAAATTATTAAATTTGATTCTAAGCCTGGATTAACGTGTAACTTTTTATCCCACTAAACAGTTCCCTAGGAACCACGCAAGCGAAGCCGCTGGAAATCTAGTTGTAATATAAACTCTATTGTATTTCCATGGAATAGAATTTAAATAAGAGTTCTAGATGAATAAAACGACATTAATGAATATTACAAGTCATTGTTTATTCTCAGTAGTAGCGTTCTTTACATTATATCCACTATATGCAGTGATTGAAGAAATATAATACGCTTATAAATGAGGTGCATAATCATTATTTTTTCAATTCAAATAAAATAATGGCCCAATCATCACGAGATTTGAA